GAAAAGTAGACTTTAATACAAGCAATGACAAAAACGATGATGACACATCAGATGATGACAACGATATAGATCAATTTAATGAAAGCTTTAATATAGATGTAGAAATTGATGATTATTAGAATTTAAAATAACACCACCCCTTAATTCAATTTGTCTATTATTTTGACGTCCACAAGGTTGGTAAAAATTATTTCGTGGCTCTAAGCGAATTTTTGTTACTTTTTGAACTAAATATAAAATTTTCTTAAAATTCAACATAATATTTATTACGTAATTCAAATATTTTGAAAAAATATACATTTTTTAAATTAAAATGTCTTCTTGTTAATTAGTCATATTTTAGTCATTTTTCCATTTAAAACAACACCGACCCACCCAGCAAGACAATACTTTTTTTTAATTTTTTTTTTAGATTTGGAATCCCCATAAAATTCTTCACCAAAAGTCCCCTTTGCCGTTTTTGAAATTGTAAAAAAAGTAAAAATTGACACACCCTACTCTCATAGGCAGTGGATGACTGGCTTTGCTGCTTTTTAAATAGGTTTAAAACTGGCATGTCAAATTTGCAGTTAGTGAGTGAAAGCGATAGCTCTATTTCATAAAAGTCTATTCATTATAGGATAAAGACAGAGTTTTAATAAAGTAGTTTGATGAATTTTTAGATGCCAATGAGTGCCAAAGATGTCCAGCTTTATTGTCCAAGTTAAGTGTCCTAAGCAGTCTAAACCTTTCCATAAAAAAAGATCTAAATTTTTGGCAATGAAAACTATCTATATTGATCGTATTTTAAATATTATTATGTTTTTGCAAACAAACAGAGTCTTTTTTTACGATTTTTAAAGCAATCAGTTTTAAAATCACAATTCAAATAATTAATTTTTATAAATAAATTATTTTTCGGATGTAGTTACATCTGAAACAACATATCGGATATAGTTACATCCGAAAAAAGTTAAACTTATAACTACATCTGGTTATATAATGTATTATTATAGATTTTTTTTTCTGGATGTAGTTACATCCGAAAAAATCATATGTGTAACAACATCTGGTTAAAATAATGCATTATAATAAATTTTTTTTGGCGGATGTAGTTACATCCGGGAAAAAATCAGATGCATAACTACATCTGGTTAAAATTATGCATTAAAAAAAAAAAAAATTCGGATGTAGTTACATAACATCCGAAAAATCTATAGATGTAGTTGCACAGATGTTATTATACATCAATGAAATTTGGGATGTAGTTGCACGGATGTTATTATACATCAATGAAATTTGGGATGTTGTTGCACGGATGTTATTATGCATCGATGAAATTTCAGATGTTGTTACACGGATGTTATCATACATGGCAAAAACGGATGTTATTGCCCTGACCCCATTTAGGGGGAGAGAGCAGGTTTTTCTCAAAAAAGTTGTTTTAAGGGCCACCCTAATATATATATATATATATATATATATATATATATATATATATATATATATATATAAATTAATGGCTTTGAGAGTACAGCAGATAAAAATTCTTTTGACAAACAAATTACTTTTAATTATTTTAAATTTTGTCTAAACTATTAATTAAATTTTCTGCTCTTGTTTTTAATTTTTTTTTTATGTTAACAAAATATAATAAAACTATTATATATATATATATATATATATATATATATATATATATATATATATATATATATATATATATATATATATATATATATATATATATATTTAAAAAGCAGTTATGAAAATAGCTGAGAGAATCAAAGAAGAATTAAAGCAAATTATAAAAAAATCTTTATGGATACTACACTTTGATGGCAAGAAGATTAAACAGAAAAAAATGCAAGTTGCGATCCTCAAAAAGCCATGCTTTTAGATGATGGCAAAGCCAAAACAATATATCAAATTCATTTGTTAAATGAATTTGATATATGGGAAGTAATAAAAGTGATTATATAGGACACAACAAACACAAATACTGGAGCAAAAGGTGGTGTTGCATCATATTTAAAAAAAGAGTTTATAGCCAGGAATTCAGAAGTTCCACAATATATTGGTTGCCAGCATCATGTGTTAGATTTGTTATTGAAGCATGTCATAGATGAAATTTTTGGAGGCATAACATTGTCACCAAACATAAATTATTTTTTTGTTGATGAACTGATACAAAACTATGATATCTTGATTAAAAATTTCAAACAGTCAATGTCAATCAACAGCATACCAGCAGTGGTATGGCAAGATGGTTTGAAGTTTTTGTGTGAGCTAGGGCATCATTACAGATATTATATGGAAAAAAAAGATATTGCCAAAACTAATTTAAAGGCTCTTCCAAATATTAGTAATGGTAGATAGAATTCAAGAGGAATTATAGCTTTACTGGAATTTACTTTATTGACAGAACATCAGCAGCAACTGCAATCAGCATGCAATTTTATTACTGTTGAATGAATAAATATCTGGTTTTCCAACTATTATAATAGAACTAACTATGAAGTTTTATTAGTTGCAGTTAACCAGTATGCAAAAGCAAAAAATTCTTTTTTAAGACACTGGTGTAATCAAGAAACTTTTATAAACACTCCAAGATCCAATATTTGTGCAGAACATGCAGTTATAACAGTGCAAGAAATTATGGCTTATTAAAAAACTGAAAAAACAATCAATAAAAAACTAACTTTTTGTTATAAAATTTAAAAGTTATACTGGCACTAATTTTTTAACCATCGAGAATTTATTAGAAATACATAACTTTACATTGAAAAGGTCTAAAATCATTAAAAACTTTTTTTACTTTATGGGGGAAGTTTTTTATTTTATTTTTTTATTATAATTATTTAATTTCAAGATATCCTTTAATTTTAGTCTAAAACTCATTGTGTTGCACAATGGCCAAAAAAAGTTATCACCCTAATATATAGTGACGCTCAAAAGTGAGTTGATAGACGTATATTTTTATGAAAAACTGCTGTATTGCGATCAAAAACCAAAAAGAAAAGCAAAATATTGCAAAATTCCCTTCGAGATACAGTTATATTTTAAAAGTATTACAAAAATATCAAAAAATATAAATAGATAAGTTAATATATCACGATTTATAAATTTGGCTAAATCCAAAAGTCTGTTGACAAGTGTTTTTTTAATATATAATCACCGGTAAGTTAATAAAATAAGCTTAATTAAGTTAAATAACATTTTAAATAAGCATTTTAAATGTCACTATTTGTTTTGAACAGCATATTGACAAAATAAACTTTTTTGAGATGGCACACAGTGAAACTTCGACTGATACCAGGATTAAAATTTATCATTTAATTAAGGAGGAAGGAAAGTCATTGAGAGAAGTAACAAAGATATTTGGATTGAGTGCGGAAGGTGTAAGGATGATTGTTAAGCGAATGAACCAGCAAAAAATGTTAGAAAATTCAATTAGATCAGGTCGACCAAGGAAGACAACTGTAAGAGATGATAGACTGATCGTTAGAACATCGGTTGAAAAACCAAACATGAGTCCAATAGAACTTAAAAACGAATTAAATTTGGCAATAAGTCCTCAAACAATTAGAAGACGTCTCAATGATGTCGCATTATACGGTAAAGCGATGCAAAAAAAAACCATTCATCTCTATAAATAATCTAACAAAGAGGCTGGCGTTTGCTACAATGCATATAAAGTTGCCACTCGAAGTCTGGAAATCTGTAATTTGGACGAATTGAACAGACGAATGCAAGTTTGAGCTTCAATCCACAAAGAGAAGAACGGTCTTCAGAAAAAAGAATGAGGAGTTTTTAATGCAACATATGATACTTACAGTCAAGTTTGGTGGTGGGTCGGTAATGCTGTGGGGTTCTATTTCATGGAACGACCCTGGTATTATCGAGTTGATCAATGGTAAAATCACCAAAGAAGTTTATCTCGACATTGTACAGCAAAACGTCTTTGCTTCTGCGGCAAAATTAAGGATAGAGGATGATTTTATCTGGCAGGAGGATAATGATCCAAAACATACTGCAAAGATTGTCAAAGATTGGTTTGCTGATCATGAAATTTTCAAGTTCGATTGGCCTGCTCAATCGATTTAAATATAATCGAAAATATATGGGAATACTTGGATAGAACTATTTCTCAAAACGAAAATCAAAAAATGACATGTTTACAACAATCAAACGTCATTGGGAAGAAATTGACATTAATTCCATTCAGAAATTAGTACTTTCGATTTCGAAACGCTTGCAAGCAGCTATCGATATTAAAGGCGGACCAACAAAATATTGAATGGATTGCGTTTGCACCAAAATAACAAAACTATTTTGTTTAAAATTGTGTTCTTGTCGCTGTCAAACTTTTGAGCAGCACCTTTTTGCATTTTACCTAATTTTTTATCGTTCTAGCGTTAATCAACTGCTGTTCTATTTTTATTTCAAACATTCTTTTTGTTTTCTATTAAACTAAATACTTTCTACCCATAAATATCTTCTCATTCATAAAATAATGCCTAAATATTCACTTTTTTTAAATGTCAACTGACTTTTGAGCGTCACTGTATATATATATATATATATATATATATATATATATATATATATATATATATATATATATATATATATATATATATATATATATATATATATATATATATATATATATATATATATATATATTAAAAAAATTAAAAAATTAAAAAATATAAGTATTATTTAAACTAACAAATATAAATAATATTTATCAAAATATAAATGAAAAAACAAATAATCTAATTCAACATTTTTCAATCTTCACAATATCGCTATTCAGTTTGAGAAATGAGCAAAAAATTTTAAATTTCGTGAAATGCATAATTTCACAACCTCGGCGTAACATATGCATACAAATACAAACATACGCACACACGCATGCACACACACACACATATATATATATATATATATATAGAATACATTTTTTTTCATATAGATACACATCTTTTTTTACAATCAGTAAAAAGACCACTTACTTGGTTACTATGAAGATCGGTAGTAAGCATTATAATTGAATAAGCAAGTACATAAGCAGCATCAGCACTGGCAAAAATCTGCTCACTGAAATACAAAATTAAAAAATATTCTGCTCACTGAAATGCAAAATTATAAAAAAATCTGCTCAATGAAATGCAAAATTATAAAAAAAAAATCTTATCAATGCATCATAGTAAAACACAATTAAATTTATGTATCAATAAATAAGAATAAATATTGTAACCATTTCTTAATAATAGAAAATCTATTTATAAATTCCCATGACAACCTACCTAGGATTACATACACAGTATCTACTAGCAAATTTTTCCATAAGTCTATCGATTTTTTGAGCTTCACCAGGAAGTCGAAAATTTTCCAAAAATAATCGCAGTGCTGATACAAAATCTTTATTTTCAAAATTCATCATGTCAACATAACAATACATAACTTCTTTACCATATCTATATATATCATATATATATCATTCTTTACCATATCTATATATATCATAACTATATAGATAAATAAATTTAAATAAATTTACCATATCTATTATCATTACTACAAATGTTTACATGTGAAAAAGCATGATAAAAAATAAATTTGATTTATCAAATTAAAATATTCAGATGAAAAATTTAAAATATTCATTATAATATTTAGGTATTTTAATTTTCAACAAACTATAACAGTAAAATCTAGTTTCATAATTAAAATGTAACAGAAATATTGGACACAGATACACAGATAAGGTATCACCAGAAAGTTTATACCTACCCACTATTTAGTTCTTTTAAGTAAACTAATATACACTTCAAAATTTCGGTTTTGTGAACAATGTATCCATCAATATAAACACACACCATTTTGCTGTCTTGTTTCATAGACTCTTATAAGTTATTCAATATGTCAAAAATCTCACTCTCTTCTTCAGTTGTCAAATACATCCATCATAAGAATGATGTTCTAAGCAGTCAGAAAAATCTGCATCAAATCTTAGTATTAACTCTGTACTGGTGAAGAGCAGTACTTCTCATTACAAGTAATTCTTCTTGTAGAACTCCTTTTTCCTTTAAATATTGCATAAAAATCAAATTGCTTTAAATAAAACAGAATTTAATATTGTCTATTCTTTTATTTGATTCTCTGAAATTGTCAAAATAAAACACTGTGAACCCATGTGAAATGCAGTAAATGTTAAATCACTGATTTAAAGAAATATAAAAAATATTATAAATATTTATAATATAGATACATTGTTATCAGTGCATAATTAGATTTATATGAATTAAAAGACTTTTTATATTTTTCTACTTTATGACTTAGAACACATTGGTCTGCATTTACTATGAAATTCAAAAGGTTTGTTAATTAGAAAGTTCCTCACTGTGATATTTCAGTTCCTTGGATAAAATCTTTTAATTGTAAGAATATGTCATCATTACATTTATAACTTAAAATCGGTAGTTAATCAGTTTCAATATTCATTACAATGTTACTAAATAATCAGCTTCAGTTAAACTATTTAAGTCATCCTTCATGATTATTTTTTACTCTTAAATATCTTCTTAACTATTTCTTGCTCATAAACTTCTTTGTTTTGTCATACATAATTTTGCTAGTGCTGTTAGAATTTAAAATTAATTAATGTTATGGAATATTGTTAGATGGTTGTTTAAATAATAGTCGGTTCTTACAATTAATCATAGTCAAATTAAAATTCTCAGATCAATATATTTCTATTTCCATTTAGTATTAAAAAATAAGATACATTATGTTGCTTTTTTTTTCATTCCAGAACTTTTTATTTTAATGAATCGCTAAGAGCAAAGATATGATAAATATACAACTAAGATCATATTTTAACAAAGTACTAAATATATAAAACTCTAATGCTAAATATATCCTTAGGAGTAATCATGATCATACAGTTAATCATTTTCACACAAGATTATAAAGAGATTTTAGGTGTAAACTGTTTGATGTTATAATTAATGCAAAACCATGGATTTTATTTGGACTGAGTGCCATAAAAACTCTTATGCCCTTAAAAATAAAAAACTTTAACACCATTTCACTTTTGAACATTGTGCTCTAATATGCCATCATCTTTTGCTTTACCTGCCAAAACACAATCTCACTTGACTTGCCATTCAGCAAAATTGATTAATGCTTTAAAAATGTTTATTTATCTAGATTGCCACAAGCATCAGCACTTTGGAATTTACTCTTATGTTCATATTTTTCTGACTTGTATAATTTACAGCTTTTTATCTTTTCTGTCAAATTGCTTTTTTTGCTTTTTAACTATCTGTTTCATTTCCTTCTAACTCAAATAGCGATTGCCTGAAACATGTTAACAACAAATTTGTTAAAAAAGCTAATCTAAGAGAAAAGACCTTATACAATTGAAAAAATCACAGTTTCTCTAGCATAATATGCGATATATAAATTTTGAGCAATAGTTACACTTTAATTTTTAGGCAAATTTAAGTGACTAAAATATTTCACATTGCAGAGTGTTTAAGCAAGCATGTGCTTTAGTTTTAGCTTAGTAATTAACTAAGTAATGATATGCTCTTTTACTAACTTAGAGCCATAAGTTAAATGTATAGACCTTCACAGTAAATATCAATGTAACAATGCCTTATACTGGAAATCTTTAAAAGAAATTAAAAAAAAAAATTAAAAATTATTTACAATTTGTATTCAATCCCATCAACATTCAATATATTCATTTTTAATACTTGAAATTTTAAAATAAATATTCAAATAAAAAATAATAATAATAAAAAACATACTCTGAAAAATCACCAAGTAGCTCACCAATTTGTGTCTAAAAGCAATTTGTTTTATAAGATTTAAAAAAGTTAACTTGAAAGTATTTATAACAAATATAGAAAAAATTAGATGAACTATGCTAAATTTATAAATAATATTTTAGGTGATAAAACATCGATAAGTTAAGCAAACTGATAGAATTAGCATAATACACTCATTAATGTGGTATATAGCATTCAATATGAATTATTAAGTTACAAATTAGCACCTAGGATTCACCTAGGATTTGGTAAACAAAGTAGTACTATTATTATATACAAAGTTAGTATTATTATTATATACAAGCATTGTATACAATTGTGCTATTGGAAAAGAGGCATAAATAATTGTTTTTAAAGTGAATGACACTTAGTTGAGCATATATTATTGTATATATATTTTCTTCTATAGCAATAGATTCTCAATAATTTTATCAGTCTTCAGTAGTCTTTAAATAATTTGCTAAGTAAAAAAAAAAAAAAGTAATCTAACTAATCTACTCTAAGTAGATTAGCTAGTGTTGTTGTCTCATACTACACCTTAATTTTTTAACTGAAGTAAGAAAAACTCAGTTTAATGGTTCTGAGGCCAGCTGGTAGTAAGGTTTATTAAAATCTGGGTATTTCTCAGAGAAGCTGATTCCATTAACAGTTATAAAATATAAAAGTATTACCATTTCCATGTTGCACAATGAAGATGCCTATATTAGCACTTTTAGTGTGCACTGCAAAAACCACATAATGAGCTCTTTGTTACAACTTTGGATTGTGCATAATTTATATTGCGCACAACGCCCTATTGCTTAGGGCGTCATGCACACTAATTATTAAAAATACAAATAAAATACTTGAAAATATTTTTTTTCATAAAACCATTACTACCAAACTATTTCAATGTGGTCTTTTAAAGAAAATTTTTATCCATTAAATCTTTCATTTTTCGGAAATCACCAGACCTACTTGCTCATTTTTAGGCTAATTTAAACTTGGTTGTTTTATTATGAGGCTAATTTAAACTTGACTGTTTCATTTTGGATCTTGGTATTGATGGCTGTTATTCTTTGATTTGTAAAAACATCAATAGTCACATGCTTAGCCTGGGTATACACTTATCAATTTACTAAGATAACTTTTCAACTTGTTATCCAGAAAACTTTACTACTAACTAAAGACTAGGACTGGGATTTATTTCATAACTTTCTTTGTGATCATTCTTGAGCTGATGTTTTTTTCTCTCTACTGAAAATTGTGCCTCTTTATAATCTCCTGGATTCAGGCAGACATAGAAGCTTATATTCCTTATTTTCAGTTCAAAGTCAAGCCTCACTCTACACAACCATTTTGTGAGGGGGTGGGGGTATTGATAATTTCAAGCGCTTTTTATTACTACACACTAAATGTTTCATTTAATTCAGTATTAAGTTCTCAAAAGGGATACCAAGTATTAAGTTCTCAAAGGGATCCCAAGATTTATGCTATGTAAATAATAATTAAAATCGATGTAAAGTTGGATAAATCAAATAATTTACTCCACACTTTAATTATCTAATACCTTGATTATCCAATACCAATACAATATCAGACTTCCTATATTTCCTAAAATATGTGCAAATTATTTATTTAACACATCAATTTAACTTGAAAAATTGACATGATTTATCTAATTTTTTTTTTTAAGTAAGTTGTGTTTAAAACTTTTAAATTATTTTTAAAGACTTTTTGGGATAATTTAATTATATTCTAAAAATATGTGTATTAAATGTTCAAAATAACAATATAAAATGACCTCAATGCAGTCTTTTTATTTTAATAAACATATATTCTCATATATAAAAAAAAATTTTAAACATGTTACACTACCATAAATGTAATGCTTCTGAATTAAAAAACATGGTTAGCAAATACAATTAACCTAAGAAACTGCACATTCTGAAACGATTAACACACCTCTTATTTTGTATGACATAAAGTGAAAAATATAAAGAGTGTCAACAAAATGTTAAAAAAATATGTTAGGCATAAATTGGAGTAGATCTTTTATGAAACAACATAGCTTAAAAAAAAATTTCACAGATATTAAACTAGTAGGTCAATCATAAACACAAAGGTTATTGATAAATATTTGGACAATTTAGCAGAAGAACTTATGAACTTTGTATAAGAACTTGTCCAACCTTTTTAACACAATTATAATGAGACCAATATCACTGATAACTCTTGAAAAATATGTTTTTGGTAGTCAAGTGCAATATTCAAAAAAACATTCCAAGCAGTCAAGAAATTTAATTTTTCCAGGTAGTGTCACAGAAAAATACCTAATTCCTATGCTTGCTTATAAAGCATACAAACTATAGGGTTTGTACTTTTAAAGTTTGGTTCAAGCCAAATCTTTTTGCCTGTTGCTACAGCAACACTAGGAACATTGATCTTTGGAAAAAAAAAACAATAGCTTAGCAGATGTCATAAAAAAAAACTTGGAAAAAAAACTTTTGACTTTTATTCATCAACAAAATCACAGCACTTAAAAATTAAAAAAAAAATAAAAAATTAAATTTAGGCTGTGAAATAAAAATAACACCTAAACAAAGCTGGATATAAAATATGACCAGGAAAATGAGTACAGAAATTAAAAAACAAAATCTAGTCAACAATAAAAACAACTACCATGTAATTAAAATACTTGTATTTTTGAGTATTTAAATGTAATTAAAATATCTGTATTTTTGAGGAATTAAATGTAATTAAAATATTTGTATTTTTGAGGACACATATTACTAGCCAAATTAATTTCTATTTTCCCTTCAATTTGATTTAGAGGTCTTGCATATGCTACTTTGTTTAGTTTAACATGCTATAAAGCATTTAAACTAAACAAAGATGCTATAAAGCATTTAAACTAAAAACATTTCTTGACTTTCTGTATTCCAATTTCACTTTTTTAATTAAAGAAAAAATGATAGCAACTCAGAAAACAGAACCAAAAGTTTTTTGTTGGAAATTAATTTTTATTAAATTTAATAAGTGAAAATTTGATAAATTTAATTAATTAAATTAAATTTCTTAAATTCAATTAGGAATTCAAATTAATAATAATTTAAAACTTTTTAAAAACTTAATTAAAAGAAACTTTGAACTATATTACTATATAACTTTCGACTAATGTAAGTAATTATCTTGCTTATTTAGTTTTTTTTAAGAGAATCTTTTTTTGTTTTTTCATCAACTCAGGGCGCGAAAAATCGTTTTTTTGTAATAAACATTGATGTTCGTTTCTTTATTTATTGACGAACGTATAATTTCAAAGGTATGTCAAATATCCAAACACACACACCCCCCTCCACACATACATTTTATTTTTTTATTTTTTTTATTTAAGAGAAATTCTAGATATAGAGGACTTTTTTCATTAATAGATGGTTGCACACTTCCACTTCGAATCCGTGTGTCGGCCAGAATAAGCCAGTTTCATTTTAACTTCTTTAAATTTTTTTTTTATTATTTAAATAATTTTTTTTCTTAATTATAAGGGAGTTTTATTCTCAAATAACTTTTATTCTAGTTAATAAGATATATATTAATTAGATATATCAAAGATACTTATCGAATTTTATCAATTTTTTATTAATTTAAAACAATTTTTCATGCATTTGCAATGTGTGCCCAAATTAATGATAACTAATATGCAATAACCTATTCACTGTAAACTGTTATCCATTAATACAAAATAGTAAATTTTTCTCAATTTAGTTTGTTAAATTATTAAAAAAAAGATATAAACTTGATAAAATTTAAATAAAAGAGAACTAAATAAAAATAAAATAAAAGTTATTTTAACATTTTTATTTTTTAAATATTTAAAAATAATAATATAGTATTAAGCATTTAATAAGTTATTAAATTTATAATTTAATAAGTTACTATTAAATACCTGATATGCTATTATTATATTTATAATATTAAGTATTTAATAAAAAAATATCATATTATTGGTGTTGTTAAACGCACACTAAAAAATGAAAACTATAATAAACATAATAGTTCTATAAATTCTGTTAAATTTTATATATTTCTGCAAATTTTTTTTAAAACTTTAAAAACAGCAAGTAAACATAAATTTAATGATAATAAGAAAATTTAAGAAAAGCACACCTTAGGAAAAAGAATGTTTTAGCATGGTTCCGTTTAAAGTAATTGCAAATGCATTCATTTTAAGTTAAACTTGCAATTCATTTGTAAACGCATGTAAAAACCATGCTAAACATAATTTTTTCTACAGTTGCATACTTAAAAGAAACGCTATTGAAGATCTTCAATAGCATTTCTTTTATTAAAAGAAACTGCGCTAATACTTTCTTAAGAAAGTATTATAAAGTAATAGGTTTCTTTTAATGGCGTTTTAAATTTTAGTAACTTATTTTTGTTATATTAATTATGTTTTTTTATAATAAATAAAAAACTATCAATCGCATAATTATTTGGAAATAAAAAATTGCTGAAGCTATGCGTTTGTTTTTAAAAAATTTAAGCGAACGCCAACGTTTGCTTAAGTAAAACTAAGGAAACGTGACGTTCGTTTTTCTGTCTTTTTTTTAACAAACGTTTGCACGTTCGTTGATTTGTCGCGCCCTGCAATTATTAAAATTAAACATAAAAGCAAAAAAGATGGCATAAAAAACAAGTAAAAAACCTGTTCAACCGATAACAATTATTCAAATTTATTTTCTAATATTTCTCTTTTAAAAAAAAAACATGCCTTGATATCTTGGGATCCCTTCATTAAACGTTTGCTTTACAACACTTAAGGGTTATAGAAAAAATATTACCTTATAAAATTACCTTATCAAGCCGATCATCTTCTTTGATAAACTTTGCAACAGAAGCAGGTGATTCACCAAGCAAATGCTGCTCTTGTAAATATTTTATACCTTTGAATGAGCTCTTATTAAACCTATAAATTCAATAGCTAAAAATATTTTCCAGAAAAGGTATTAAAAACTTAGGTTATAGATTAACAAAAAAACATATTTTGAATTTTGTGGTGATCCTGAGTTGAAACTTCACCAAACAATATTTTATCTTAAATAATTGCTTAGAAATTGGACACTGAAAAAGACCAAAAAATTGCCAGTTCTGTAATTGGCAATTCAAGAAAAAAAGCTGTTAAACCAAAAAGAAATTCTAAATAAAAAATTACAGAAAATTGTTATTGTAAACAAAAAAACAACAGCCCAATGAGTGGAAAATGTTTATCAAAAAACATAGTATATAAATGTGTTGTTTCTTTTAAGAATGTACCTGATAAACATTTTATTGACTTAACAGAGGGTGAATGGAAAAAAGGTTTTGCCAATCATAAACAATCCTTTGAATTGAAAATTGAATTGTCATTAAAATATATATCAGCCTCAAAATTAGGATCGGCATTCATCAATGCCAACCTAAAAGTGTTTGAGGTCGGCAAAAAATTGCCAACCTCATTTCTATGTTCTATGGTTAGACTTATATTGAATTTAATAATAAGGTAAGTTTATATTAAATTTTATTTGCTTACCTGATGCCAACCTCTAAAAAATTGAGAGATTCCTAATTTCAAATATATATATATATATATATATATATATATATATATATATATATATATATATATATATATATATATATATATATATATATATATATATATATATATATATATATATATATATATATAAGTATAAGTTAGAAGATGAATCCAGGCCTGGACATCCTCTGGGGTTGAATCATGGCCAATTAAAAGAACTAATTAAGAGCGACTAACAGCAAACTGCACTCCGTTTGGCAAGTACTCTTGGGTGCTGCCATACCACTATTTCACGCCATCTGAATCAGCTTGCTTATTGCTTAAAACAAGGTGTTTGGGTTTGACTCTGACTCATGATTTGACTCTGACTCATGATTTGACTCTGACTCATGATTTGAATTAGCAAAATCAGCACTATTACATTTGTACCTTTTTGCTATCCATATCCAAATAGCATACTGAGTTGGCTTGACAATGTTACAGGAGATTAAAATGGGTCATCTATGATATTGCATAACGGGAGCTGTTTCCAACCAAAATAACTGTTACTACATAGGTCTATTGTGCTCAATAAGAGAAGTTTAATCAAAAAACTCTTAATTGATCATTCAGAGAACAACACAAAATTTCTTTTAATCATGACAAAACTAGACCACGTGTTGCAAAATTATCTTGACAAAAATTATTTGTGTTAATTATAATCTTTAGTTTTAGGACTGGTACTTAAAATTTTTAGATTCAGGAATGTTAATTGTAACTGCCAAATAATAAAAAGTATAAATAGTTTTGCATTTTGCCATTTTAGGGTTTGCCGAAAAATACTGATACTAAAAATAGATTGTGAAAAAATACAATAGAAAAGACAATGCAAAAATTACTTATGCACCAACTACATATTCACTTTCTCAAGTTAGACGCAGCCACAGCACTTAAGATTATATTTCAACTTATTTCAAACCATATTGCAGCATAAACCTGAACAATAAAATACATGAGATTTTTAAAGAAACGGTTGGCTGATTGTCTTTAGTATACAAACAGAGAAGACGAATAACTAGAGTTAACCACCTTGCATGGTTAAGCAGTCCAATTTTATAGGTGGCCTATTTATCAGAAACTTTAGTAAAGTCTATACCTTTGGAATATTCAAAGAAAAGTCTTTGATCACAACTAAGGTCTATTAGTATTTCTTCTGGAATATATCCATCTACAATTGGGTTTTCAATACGTTCAAACAAAACTTAGTTTCTATCTTGAATATTTTTTGCATATCTTTTGCCAAGTATACCACTGAAACTTCTTGGCCCCATTGTGTCACCATCAAGTTTTATAAAAAGAGCTCATGTAGTTTTCTTATAAAACTTTTTTAAAACTCTTCTAGTTTTACCACTAAGCCACTTATTAGTCCAGTATTGGTAGCATTATTATCAAGAAGATGAGCTTGTATACTTTTCAAACTGTTATGTTCTTGTAAAATACTGAACATTTTGGTAACAAGAACTAAGCCTGTAACCCCAGAAACAGGAATTTTCCTATGAATCAAATAATTTCCATTCGATTTCCATCTTCATAAGTTAATGTGAGGTGATGTTCAGTTTTAATGCATTTCTTTAGTAGTTCTCTTTGAGGTGAGTTTATTATTTTACTTGTTTTAGTTATCTGATTGAGTTTGCTATCAACCCTAAGACAAATTAACTGTTTTTTTTTTTGTTCACATCTTCACTAACAATTTTTACTTTTGACTTAGCCCTATCTAATTTGCATTTGTAAATCAAAATATCTTTTATATCATCGTCATTTTTCAGGAGATGTTTCATGTCATGTAGTAAAGCATCACAAGAGCTGCACCTACATTTTACAAACACTTGTTTCTGACAAGTTCCATTGCAAACCTTGGAAGTTAAACCAAGTTGTATTTTCTAATAGGATTATTTATTGGTTTCCATTCAATATCATCCTAAAAAAAGTTAATAAAATAAATTGCTTTCTGCTCCATCTACTGTAAATATTTAATGTATTTATAAAATATTTACCTTCAAATTGGATAAACCACTTGTTTCTTCAATTAAGTTTATGTGTGGTGTGAGGGATTCATTTTCATCAACTAGCTTGAGATATTTTTTGTCGTACTTGATCAAGTCTTTGAATCCTTTTGACAGATAATCTATCAACAGAAGAAAGTTGATATGTACCTTTGGACTGGTTTTTTTCCTCTAATTATGAAGATAAGCTCTGTCTACAAGAGGTACTTTATTACTTTGAGAGCAAAAGCATACAATATGTTCTTCGATGCAATTTTCTTTATTACATTGAACTTTTCTGTCACTACAGGGAAACACATCAAATGAACAGGAACAGAATATCAAAACGTTTGTCCAAGTTTGCTTCAAGATTTCTTTTAACGCTTGCTGTTCCGTGCTTACGATTAATATCTTTAACAAGTACAAGATCTTTAACTTTCCTTTAATAGATTTGCCAGTAATAAGAGGTAAACTTGGGTTTACTGTAGCCCTAATTGATTTTATATTATTGCTAATTTGCTGAGTCACTAATACGATATCTGCATATGGATTTATATAAATAAGATAGAAATAGTACTCAATAACCTGTCTAAAAGTGCTAGGATCTGTCATTGATAATTCACATGGGCCACCACAATATTTTTTTTCACTTTTCATCCGTGTAATTGTAGCCTTAACTTTTGGTATTTTTGTAGACTAGTAAAATATGTCAGCTGTACTGGGTCATGGCCCTCTCAGGAATTGAGTAAAACCATTAGCTCCTCAAACTAAATTAAGTTAAACCATCAATTCCTTCAAAAAAATTTTATATCTTAATCTACTTCAGAAGTTGCAAAACAAAACTTAACATTAAACAGGTAAAAACATTAATCTCTAATCATTAATATAAAAAAATCAATTATTAAATATAATAATCATAAGTTTTTACCTTTGATGTTAAACTATTTCTTTAAATTGCAATTTTATTTTTGAACTAACTTTAAAATTCTTTTTATTTAATTTTAAAACCAACTTTTAAATACAAACAAGATACAATACTTTTAAATACAAACAAGAATTTTTAATTACAAATAAAATATGTTAAGTTTAAATTTAAAAGCAAGTAAACGATTTAGCAAAAATTTATTGGCTTCTTAAAACAATTGTGCTTTTTAAAAAATCATTCATTGGTTACTTTACAAATTCAAAACAAGATATTTTAAAATAAGATTACTAGACTTAAAATAAAACACTTCAATGTTTGAAATTCACAATCTAACAAAACTAGTCCAAAATTAAGACTTGAAATGTTAATCCGCAAGCCATTTTTAAACCAGGATACTTAAGATTTGGCAAAACCTCATTTCTAACCTAGACAACATAACACAACTCAAAATTCAACAAAAAAGCTAAAACTGACCAACCCTAACATACATAAATTTGATACAGCGTTTTTGACGAAATTAGAAATTTGTCAAAAAAGTTTCCTAATTATAACCCCCCTCCACCTATCCACCTCCCTTGACATTAAAATGTCTTCCGTAAATGTGTGGGGTCCTTTTCTAATATTCTTTCTTCTTCTACTCCACTTTAGCGCTGCATATATTGATTGGACAGCGCCAAAAATAAAACAGAATACCGCCTGTAACATTTATTGAAAATGAATACGAAATCAACACAAAATTTAAAGTGGTTTTACAACGACCAGGCAAATCAAGCTCCGATTTCCAAAGATATATTCAGAATTATATATTTTTATATTATAAAATAATCAGTGTGTAATAACTAATTATTATTATTAAGAATAATATATTTTAGTTACTTTTAATCTTAATATAATGTTGCCACTTTTATGTCAAGAGTATTCTTTTGACTTTTTTCACTGGGCGATTTTTAAAGAAATACTTTAAAGGGCAATTTTTAAAGTAATATATAGCAATTTATGTTCAATGAAAATTTTCGCGGAAGAGAGCTAATGATCTTCTACTTCAAATTATTATTCAAATTCTGTTTGAAACTCTCACACCAACGTGTAATAAACATATCATCATAATAATAAACATGTCATCAAAAAAAATATTTAAAAAATAGAAAAATAAAAAAGGTTTTGAAAATAGTCAATAAAAGCTCATAAACTTCATATTTCACATTTATTGCAAGTTCAATTTTATAATTAATATTAACTTTCTTTATGCATAAATCCCATAGCGAAATAAAGTTACAATTACAAAGTCTCAGCAAAAACATTAACAAATGTTGTTTAATTACAAAAGATCGCAAGCGATTGCACGCTATCGTGGCAACGAAGAACATTAATAATTATTTTTTCATTGATAGTCATAAAATGTTATTATGGCTACGGTTCATTGAAACATATAAACTTGCTTTTAGGTTTTAAATTCAAGCAAGCAGTGAATCTAGTTTTCTTGTTTTTTAAATTTCTAGTACCAATTTGTTGTAATAAAAAAAACTTTTTTGTTATTAAAGGTATTTAATTTACGTTTTAACTATAAGATACCAGTAAATTAAAGAAATCTATTTTCCTTATTAAATAATTTTCTAGAATTGTTTGTTATAATCAAAATCATTTACTTAACTTATTTAGCTATTCAGCCGAAAAAGGCAAAACTTTTAAAGAAATAGCATTTGTGAGTGTTAAACCAAACAAATTAGTAACTTTTTAAAATATACTTTATTTTTTGGTAACTTTTTTTAAATACTATTTGCTGTTGTTGGAACGCATTGCAAAAAATTATTTGCAAATTTTAAAAAATGAATTTTTTTTTCGAGCGATTTTAGAGATTTTCGGAAAATCCCAATTCTCAAAAAGCTTTTTTCAAAGAGACACATTTTTGCAGTTATGCAAGCAATTTTAGAGATTTTCGGAAAATCCCAATTCTCAAAAAGCTTTTTTCAAAGAGACACATTTTTGCAGTTATGCAAGCGCGTAGTTATATCAATAGTTGCAATTTTTAGTTCAAGTTTTAAACAATAAATTATAATTTTTTATGTTATTTTTAATATTAGTTTTTAAGTCATTAATTTTCAATAATTTTTAGAATTATTATTAAACTTTAATTTCACAAACTTTATTGGGAGAATGGAATTTTTTCACTTTTAAATTGGCAATTTTAA